AAAGACCCTTTTTATATTCTTCTGACAGCATAACTGACTCCCCCTATAAATGCCCAGCTGGCCAAGTTATAAATGCCCAACACTCTTCTTATTCCTAACTGACATAGCTATAAATGCCCCAAGACTCTTCTCATTCTCTTCAGCTATAAGTGCCCCAAGACTCTTCTCATTCCCTTCAGCTATAAATGCCCCAAGACTCTTCTCATTCCCTTCTGACTTCCTCTATAAATGCCCAGCTAGTAAGCCCCATGTGTTCAACTATTTCCCCCCTTAACTGATTGCTGACCTGGCTTATGCTGCTCTTTCCTTCTCCTAGCATACATAAGGTTAATTGGGGGCCTATCACCTACCATTCTGATTAGAACTCTTTGAGCGACTTGAAGAGCTTGAAGAAGACGATGACAGATGGTTTCTATCATCTGTCTTAGATCCCTCGGTCACATGCAACTTAAGCAAGTCATGTGCCTTGTTAGAGCTGTTAGATGGGCTAGCTGACCTCAGTCCACTTGATGCTTCATTTGTTTGGGTCTTCTAACCCCCAAACCATAAGACCCAGTCAAGAAATTAGGCCCATCAGTAGGAATCTGGGCAGGCATGTGATATTTTAAAACTCCACCCTCCCTTGCTTGACTTGGTGGTTCATCCCCCTCCAAGCAATGGATCGACCAGCCTATCCAAAATTGCCTTTTCCTGTAAAATTAAGCAATTCGAGTAGGGGTTTTATTTTCTTGATCAGAAATAGAGAGAATAGATGAATTGTCTCTTCATTTTTCCATAGCAGGTATATCAATCGATCCCCAAAAAAAGTCCTGATAAGTTTCCCCTTTTTACAAACTCCAATATGATGGGTCAAGCAACCAATGCAGCCATTTGTGCATTGCTTAATGGGTCTGAAACCAGCCCACCTTCAATCCAACAATAACTTGCCAACATTTCATGAGCACAAGAGTGGATACAATGTATATCTCCACACAAAAAGAAACTCCAGTCACAAATTTGCAGCTCACCCTCAGACGAGGAAGTCCTAAATCCTTCGTTCATTTTTTTTTTCTTTTTTTTTATCTTATATTTTGAATTGGCTGTACAGGTTGATCTGATTTGGCATGAAATAACCGAGGATTTGAATAAAATGTCATTCATTTAATTCTTACTTTCATCATTTCTTGTTCTGTTAATAAATTCTGTAATTTAAATTTCATTATCTAATTCTAGTACTTAATTTATCTTCCTTTGTTTAGTTTATTTCACTGACTTCATTCTGTAATTTAATTCTTTTTTCTTTCTTACAACTTGATAGAGTTATCTATTGATATTGAGAATTCTATTATTGGTCATGAATTGCAGAATTTCATTTCACTTGTTACTTGTTTTAGGTTTGTTTTAATTGCAGGACTTAAATCTCTTATTATTTGCTTTAGCTTACTCAATTTCTGAGATTTTATTTAACTTGCACTATCAGCATCTTATTAGCTATTGTAGTGTTGCAACATCTAGACATTTTTAATTCTATCTAATTCTGAACACACTTTGAAAATCACTTGTTTCTTATTTGAATCACAGAATTTCGATATATTTGTTATCTGGTTTAACTGTATAAAATTCTGACCTCTCATCATTCCATTTAGACTTGCAATCTATTACTTAGACATGGTCTTCTTATTTGCATTTTTAGCTCTGTTTTATTCTTATTTAATTATTTATGTGATTTCAGTTCTGTTGAATAAGCATCTTCTCACAATCTCAAACATGGCAACTGGATATGGAGCAAAGAAGCTCTGCAACTCTCTCCTTCAATTTAGCTACTCCCTCCGCCATTTTTCTTTATTTCACTCAGTTTCGTCCTCACAAACCCTTGAAGAATCTATCAGAATAGCAATCAATACCAAATCCTACCACCAAATCCCCGACTTACTCCTCTCCTATGAAACCACAAACACTGCCATAAATCAACCCCAATTTCAACAAAACTCAAATAACCCCTTTTCCTTTCTTTCTTCCTTTCCCCAAGCATTCATGAACCAAATCATTGACGAAATTCTCCAATCTTTCATGCATCTCAGACCTCGCTCTCGTCCCAAAATTGCCTACCACTACCTCTTATTCCACACTCTCCAATGCCCCAACCCTCTCCCTCTTGCTCTTGCCATCCTCCAACGAACTCTTCGTTCTGGTTGCATTCCTGCCCCGCAAACACAGCTCTCGCTCTCCTCTGCATGGCTGAATTGCCGCCGAACCCAATCAGTACCCAACATCCTATCTGAGATGCGATTGATTGGATACCACCCTGATTGCAACACCTGCAATTTCCTCCTTTTCTCCCTCTGTGCAATTGACCAGTTGGCTGAGGCTATTACTGTTCTGAAAGGCATGTGTCGGGCTGGGTGCGATCCTGACTCAGAGAGTTATGGGACGGTGATTGGAGCAATGTGTGAGGCTAGAAGGACCGAACCAGCTGCCAGGTTGATGATGGAGATGGTTGGGAAGATTGGCTTGACACCAAGGCAAGGGACAGTGGTGAAGGTGGTGGCAGCCATGCGAGCAAACAGGGAATTGAGGAGAGCGGTTGAATTGGTTGAGTTCTTGGAGAGAGAAGGATATGGGGTTGGGTTTGAAGGGTATGAGACAGTTGTGGAAGGGTGCTTGGAGAGAAAAGAATTCGTCTTGGCAGGGAAGGTGGTGATGGAGATGACAAAGAGGGGTTTCATTCCGTACATCAGGGTACGACAGAGAGTGGTTGAGGGGCTTGCTTGTGTTGGCGAACCAGCACTTGCCTATGCTGTACGCCAACGACTGGCTGAGCTGAGGTCTTAAAGCAGACAGTTCAGTGCGTGGCATAATATTCTTTTCTTCAAAGTGGTAGTATTATTCGACCCACTAGTGACTCCAGGCTCTTGCTCACGAGGCACCACCAAGCATTGAGCCATGCTTCTGTTTAAGTATAATTTGTGCAGGGTGTCTGTTATACAGTAGTAGTGTGTCTCAAAAGGGAAAAAAAGGTTTCATGAATTCCATCTACCACATCAGCACAGTACTCTACAGTGGTACTCTTAGTCATTTCAGAAACTGGAGGGTATGTTTAAGCAATGGTCAGATACCACAGGGTATGTTTAAGTATTTTTTCCTATTTAGTATTATTTTAATTTTTTTACTGATCCCATGCTTTGTAAAGAGTATCCTTGCTAAATTTAGTGGTTATGCTGTTCTGGTTGAAGTTACTTGTTCTAGAGCCATCCAATTTTTGTCATCAATTTTATCAAGTGATTGTATGCATCTTGGCATCCTAACAGCTAAATATTTCGTCATCAGTTTTATCAAGTGATAGTATGCATATTGGCATCCTAGCAGCAGCAGCCTGTATTGCTGTAAACCACAATCCTTTCACAGTGTTCTACAATTCAAGGTAATTGGCTTCTTCTGTTGGGAGTTTTTATCTTTATCATTTAGTTTAATTTCTAATCTTGAACTTTGTTCTTTCTTGAAATTCATTGAGTTATGGAATCTAGTTGATTAGATTAGTTGCATTTCATGCAGTCCCAAACTGTAGATCTCATTGTGAATGGATTTTCTGAAATAACTCTTCTTTATGCAGGGCTAGTCCTCCAGAATGTCATTCCTCAATCCAAGTATTACAGGGCAATATAAAGTAACCAAATATCACTTGGCATGCAGTTCCGGATGATGTTTGAAACTGAAGAGTCAGGAACAAGAAGGTTATTATAAATGACCCATATCCTCTCAGTATTGTAACTGTAATATCAAACATTCACTAAACTTTTCTGTTTCTTTCTTTTGCGTGTTCGTAGGATTCATCTAATGTTTAAAATCATTGGATTGGCTGAAATGTATTTACCATTAAACTGACTCCTTTTAATTTCAAAATTGAAAAGCTTGATTTGTGGTTTCACTTACTTGACACCTCCCCCCTTCCCCCCAACTCATTTAACTCATGCTGATCCTTGATCACGGAAAAAGTTTGAAGTGCTTTTACACCATGGAAAGATTCTTAGTATTTAATTTATAGGTATATGGGCACGATTACAAGCATTAGTGATCTAGATCCTGTAAGGTGGAAAGTTTCACAATGGCATAATCTGTAGCCTGTAGGTATAATAATTGTTCCCCTATTTATTGTGGAACCTAATTATAATCATCAATGCTGTTATATTAATCATACATAACATGGGCTGTGGCAGCCTTTTTTTAATAGGTTGGCTGGGATGAGTCAATAGCTGGGGAAAGTTGTAACGGAGTCTAGATATGGGAGACTGAACCGGTGGCTGCTTTTTTTTTTTTTTTGGTTTGCCTTCCACATTTCTTAAGATCCAAGCACCCAAGGGCCAAGGCAACTAGGATTACCAGGTTTGTTATTTGTGATTTGTAAGCATGGCTAATGGCTAATAATGCCGTGGCAGTTTTTTTTTTTCATAATAAAATCAACTTCATCAAAGCTGGAAATAACTCTTTCAAACTCTGCATATAGGAAAATGTCAACATTGATGAGGCTACCAGAAACAAACATCCTGAATCAAGTTTTGACTTGTGATGGGACTTGATAAATCATGAAGTCTATCCCTTTTATAGGTGCTGGACACAAGGGAGGCATTCTGGAACCTTTTTGTTCTCATCTTATCCTTTTTTGACATCAAACTGCTAGAGAGAAAGGCTACCTTGTAATGTAGTTGTTCATGTTTGCATACTTTTTAAGGTGGTTTTGCAGATAATGAATAACCTGAGTTGGACAACCTCTTAAAGTGGACAATGCCTTGGCTTGGTGATTATCTGCATAAAGGACTCTCGGACTCAGAATGCTGTGTTACGTAGCCTGAGTTTGGTCCAGTGGATGAATATGTAGAACATAGCTGTTACAGATAATTTCCCTTCAAGCTTATAGGGACGATGGATCTTGCAGCAAAACAACCTAAACTTCAATCTACAGAGGCCACCTCAGTAAGCATAACAGCTTGATCAACTGGCAAAATTACCAACTTAATTGAACTAATTAGTCTCTTTCATGCAGCCGCAGCAATAACTGGATGGCGCTAGTTAGCAACCCAGTTGAAATTTAATTAATAAAATACTTCTTTGAAACAAAGCTCAAGACCAACTGTTACAGCCTCAAGTTTTAATGCAATCTCTCCTTACTCATCAGTAGGAAGGGGCAAATTTCTTAATCTACCTTTATGGTTTAGCTAATTGATTAATTCTATTCATACTGTTTATATATTGTCTTAAAATACCTTCACTGTTTCTGACAATTGACATCGTCATTAAATGTTAATGGAAAGAAATGAAATGTTAATGTTGCAAGTTCTGAAAATTTGAACAAAATCACGGTTCATCTTCTTCGAGTTAATGATCGCGAGTGGCGATGGTACTCTTCTTATTGAGGTCATGCGTGGAAGTAAGATTTGTCCCAAGACACAGCATGCTCAATTGCACACAACACTCACTTCTAAACGGTAGGGCTGAACCAGAATTTTAAGTCAATGGTGATAATGGTGGAATATAAATTGAGAGCGATGGATCCTACATACCAAGGGATCAAAGGTATTAGAGGTGGTGGAATCGAGTATGTTACCGTTGAAGGAGTTGGAGATGTCGGATGAGGCTGTGATGGACATCTTACAATGTGCGGTTTTGGGATTTTTCGTGGCTTTCACCATTACTAGAATAACCTTGTCTCTGCAGGCACATACGAATGAGTCCTAGTTGTAGAGTAGTTGTAACTCGTAGTGAGAACGAAACGGACAAGGAGGAAGGAGGGAGAGAGAAAGAGAGAGAAAGAGGGTTGTTGTCATTGTAAATCTTTTTCGTGGTTGAGAATAGGTGGTTTGAGAACAAAGCGGACAGGGGGAAGAAAGGAAGAAGAGA